GCGTGCAATAACTGAGCAGTGCTAAATGAAAATAAGGTCTAGACGAAGACATGAGTCGTGGAACGAGAACAGTTTACCCCTGTAGATTAAATAAAGGGTCCAATTAGGAATTCCCTGTAGGTTACCCAGATCGATATACACCCGAGGAACGCCGGAGGGTATAACGGCCGAAACGTTGTGATAACAACAACAGAGGATGTGGATAATTGTCAGAATATAAATAGTATAAATATACATATACACCTATATATTTCTTATTACGTACATACATGCATATATATATATATATATATATATATATATATATATATATATATATATATATATATATATATATATATATATATATATATATATATATATATTATGTAGTAGTAATAATCTTATCAGTATAAGAAATTATACTCGTTAGGAAAACCTTCTGTGTTTTGATTTGCAAATAATCAAACCAATACCAAAGGGAAAAAAGGTAAAAAAAGAAAAAACGAATAACATGTACGTCAGCCGAAAATAATCGTCCAGCATACGAGTTCAAGGACCAAAGAAAAAAAAACCGATACGAGTAAGCAAAATTTTGGTGGTAACTATTTGCCCATAGTTGGGGCCCTAACAGGTGCTACCACCCTAAGTCAGGGTTGACCTGGGAACACCAGCAATTAAGTGGTGGTTTTACGCTCCTCAAAACCTCCTGATCAGAAGCCTTGCTGTTGGATGTAGTTTATCGTCTTACCCAGGACACGGATATAGTTTATCGTCAAATCCAGGACTGAGTTTTGTTTGGGAGATGTTTTGTGCGAAATGAAAGAATTTACATTACACCGGTTGTGGTTGTAAGTATACAGATCTTAGATTCTTTAAGTACAGAATTGATGGGAAAATATTTATCAGAATTCCTTGTGAATATTTTCTACATAATAAATTATGATCTTCTCTTATGAATGTCGTATTAATTAAATTTGTTAAATTTATAAACGTTTTCTTTTTGTGCCTTATCCTCTCATTCTGTTGGATTCTAAATCATATTTGATGTCAATTTATATATATATATATATATATATATATATATATATATATATATATATATATATATATACATCAGGTCCTAAGCCTTCTTTGTGCAAACAACGTGAGTGTTTGCTGGGACTCGCTGTCATCTGCCTCTAGTTCCTTCTTGCATATATACAGGTATATATGTACATATATATTTTTTTCCCATTTATTCTGATTGTACCTTTCTCTGTTTTTTGAATCTCCAGTGGAAGCCTGAAGAGCGGGAGCAAAACCGGTGCCCCCCCCCTGTTGTTGAGTTTTTTTTTTATTATTTAATATTGTTTTAATATGTCTTGTAATATTAAATTTTACACTTTTATTTCGATCATTAAATTTTGTACCTACAAAAATATCTTTAAATATATATATATATATATATATATATATATGTATGTATGTATGTATGTATGTATCCCATAAAATAGACACTGCCGATAGCACTTCTAATATCAACAAGACAAACATCATAATCCTACCCTCTAACAATCTATCTAGAAAATTTTAAAATAGGTTAGCTATCCTAGACACTAGGGTCTTTATCACCACCTCTAAGACGATTAGAGATATAGTTAGAAAGAAAAATAGATCCAACATCACTTCAGATGCCGGGATTTATCAATTAAAGCGCTGGAAATGTCGATACACTTATAATGTTTTCATGTGTCACTGCTTGAAAAATTCATGATATATTTTCAGGTGCCTCGAAAAATTCATGATATTTTTGAGGCGCCTGGGAAAATCAATTTTCGTGAGAAGTCACTACCAGAAGGATTCCCTGTGCGCTCTATAGATAGATAGATAGATAGACAGACAGACAGATAGATAGATAGATAGATAGATAGATAGATAGATAGATAGATATCATCATAATCATCATCATCATCATCATCCTTCGACCTCACTATGGTTGGTCGGAACTCAATTGACAATCCCTTTCCACATTGTTCGGTCCTGTATTGCCGTCTCAAGATCGCCAATGTCCAACTCTGAGTCCCGAGCTATGGTGTCTGGGAAAATCAATTTTCGTAAGACATTTCCAGAAGAATGTCATAGGAGTAATGATGAGACGATTTCACTGTGCGCTCGGTAGATAGATAGATAGATAGATAGATAGATAGATAATGAATAGATAGATAGATAATAGATAGATTTAGATAGATAGATAGATAGATAGATAGATAGATAGATAGATTTAGATAGATAGATAGATAGATAATGAACAGCTTTAGATAGATAGATAGATAGATAGATAGATAGATAGATAATGAACAGCTTTAGATAGATAGATAGATAGATAGATAGATAGATAGATAGATAGATAGATAGATAGATAGATAATGAACAGCTTTAGATAGATAGATAGATAGATAGATAGATAATGAACAGCTTTAGATAGATAGATAGATAGATAGATAGATAGATAGATAGATAGATAGATAGATATCATCATCTCTCAACCTCCTTACGGTTGTTCAGAACTCCATTGACCATCCTTTCCCACATCGTTTGGTCCTGTATTGCTGTCTCCAGATCGCCAATGCCCAACCTTAAGTCCCGAGCTATGGTGTCTGGGAAAGTCAGTTTTCGTCAGAAGACACTTTCAGAAGGATACCACAGGAGTAAGGGTGCGACAAACCGTTTTTATAAATGAAACAGTGACTAACCTACATTGTATACGTTTTAAATTCAAATCAAATTTCGATCGAAAGCGTGAGATTTTTCTTTTTTTTTTTTTGTTAATTTGAATTTATACAATGTAGCTTAGTCACTGTTTCATTTATTTCTCAAAAGTGATGATATTCACTACCCCCACGCGGTCGGATGTGGCACAATGCCGAGTTTATTGTGGGGTATCCGAGCCCGTAGGCTCGGGCAAAAATTCCCTGTAGAACCCGTAAAATCGGAATCGGGTAGCTGTCTACTACCTCGGATGAGACTCTGCCCTTTGGCATAGCCTCGTCAGTAAAAGAGTGATCAAGGATTGCAAAAGCTTTCCGAAATATATCTGTTTTAACAATAAATTATCCGATGGAATTACAAGTTTTTATTCTTTTTAATTCGACTTCACAAATGGAATCAAGCGTTTTTACAATTTTACAAAAATTATTTCTGACGTTTTCTAGCGTAAAATGTGAGCAGCGTATTTACATTAAATAACTGAATTCTCTCAGTAATTTTCTTCTTTATTTTTATTTTTTTTTTTTTTTGTGCTGTGTCCCTTCGGGCGTGGGCGATTACGGGTCTCCACTTCCTCGTATCGGTGGCAGTGGCCGGCAAACTGTAACCGCTTTTGTTTGTACATTTCATGAACTTGGATGTAGGAAATTGATGTAATGGAATAACCCGGCACCCCCATGAATGTTTACACTATAGGTAATAAGTACCTATAGAGTCATCTGTCTACGAGGGACGGGATGATGAGAGAGAGAGAGAAGACGCACGTCCGACCTTCAAATTAGTGGCACTCACTACTAGATTGACCTGTGTGTATAACTGTACCGTATTTCATATTGTACTGGTTGTGTACAATAAACCTTTCTTCTAGTATCCACCTGGTGTTACTTATTTATTCCCTTAGCACGGAATATGACAGTGGCGACGAGGATTGTCGGAACATAACAGAAATACTGATTGACAGGGGGTTATAAGGTGACGAATGTGTCAGCAATAACCAACGAAAAAATCTGTTTGTTTCACACTGCCCCAATTAAACGGCGTGATGGCCTAAATAAATGGTGGAAATTATTACTGTACAGTATTTCCTCGATTATCCGTACCTTTTCAGGACTTCGTTTATGCAGGCGTGAAATGAAGAGAAGAACTGAAACCGTCCATTCGTTCTTCAATTACCCAAACTAAACCGATTCCCATGTTTCAATCGCAGACAATGAAAATATTGAAGAAGAATTTGATGGCATTTGCTCATGTTGACATTCAACAGCTCCAATGTCCAATTTCACGCACTGAAACAGTAAATAATTTCATCTCAAACAAACGATTTAAGAATTTAGAAAACCGTACTCAACGTTTGATAAAAAGCGCTGATAAAAACAGTCTATTTAACTCTTGTTAATTTTCTCGTTGCTTTTATGAAAAAGAACAAACATTAAAATGATCACAGCTTGGTCACGCAAGAGATTATGACTTACTCTGCTCTCAGATGAGCTTGACATACTGTCAATAATTCAGTCAGTTAAGTGTCATACGTGATACACGCTTGGACGATTATGTTTTTTTTTTCATTCATGACTGACTAGGCAGAGAGTTTCCCCGCAGTAGGTTGTCTTTTCTTTCTGCATTAGGCTTGTTGCCAACCAAAGCTATAGGACCCAATCTGTCCTGCTATTGAAGCCATAGCTGGGGGTGGAGGGAGGTAGAAGAATGGATCCATGCCCTTCCCAAAGGTATCTGCGCGTAAGTGAATATAACAAATCCCACTATAATTCGAACCGGGTTCCCCGATTTCTCATTCCGAGCCGATATCCCGTTCAATGCAACGCACATCCATGTTTGACAAGTGTTTAAATTGCTTATGTTTTCAACCAGAAATCGCACTTATAAAAACATAATTAACTCAACTTCAATAGTTAGAGCCAGGTTTTTTTTCTGTTTTTTTTTTTTTTTTTTCGTCGAGTTCACCCCAAGCAAGGTAATAAAGCCACTCAGACACAAGGTGTGTGGAAGATTTAGAAGCAGAATCATTGCTAAGGAGCGAGAATAAAACAAGAGTAATCAGAAGTTATTGACATTGCATTTAAGTTTTTGCAGATTAAATTTGGCGGGAAAGCATGGAACCGGAATGGAATTTCTCCAAGTCAGAATTGCGAGAAAAGAAACTGTTAGCATAGAACTTACGGCTACAGCTAGCCAAATCAACTGTAAATTGATGAGATCTAGACACCATAGCGAAGAGCTCATCCGATTACCATGAAAGTATTTATAAAACCTGTACTGGGAGGTGACCTTACGGCGGTGGGAAAGAGACTGAAGCTGAGACGCCAGAACAGGGCCTATAATATTGCTGATTCTTCTTTGGGTTTTATCTAGATAAACGCGAGACTAGCTAAACAGAAAACTATCGCATTTTTTACATGAAAATTTTATTATGTTATCTGATTATATAAATGTTAAATGTCCTTCATAACATGGCATTTTTACTTCGTTCTTTTTCGATAAATTATATATTCGGTTGTACGGAATTTTGTATTATTCCGAGCATATTTTTCCAATCCCTGTCCAAAGATTTCCGGGTAATCGAGAAAGAACAGTAATCGTGTTTGGTCATTCAAGATTCGGCTCAGATAAAGGGACGTCTTGATTAACTGATTACCTAATCGATCGGAATCTACAGTACAGCTCGAGTGATCAGCCTCCTATCTATATTACAAAAGCCGATTACATCGTTTGAGAAGTTGGTAAGAAGCAGGCGTGGCTGAGGTTTTGGAATTTCAGTTTGACTTTATTATCCGCCGAAAGCCGCCATGTCCAAACGCGGATTTACTAGTTATAAACTTCGAGATGAAAGGGTCAAAAGTAAAAGAAAATAATAATAAGCATGTTTTTAAAATAACTGATACTTGATCTCTTAACCTACTGAAGTGAATAAACATCATAGGTAACATTTTAATCATTTCACCCCCAAACAAGGCGATAAAGCTACTAAGATGCAAGGGTAGTGTTACTTGTAGTGACGGAAAACTGAGAAAATGTTACTGAAGACAAACGACAATAAGAAAAACAGGATTCAAGACGCAAGATGACAATTGATATTGCATTCAAATTTTTGAAGATCGCAGTTGAGAGGAATGCATGAGGCAGGAAGAGATTTCCACAAGCGAGAAGTGCTGGAGAAGAAACTGTTAGAATAGGACTTGCAGTTACAATGAGCCATTTCAACCATAAAATGATGAGGCCTAGACGCCAGTTTAGCGCTACGTTTAAATCGCTTAAATACGCATGTTACCGGTCCTGATCCATTGTGTGAATTTTCTTTTTTTTCAAAAAACCTCCCAAATCAACATGAAAAAAACCTCACCCAAATCAGGAAATTTTAGGATTTACTATATGAAAAAACAGTGTAACCCATATAAAAAAAAGTTAGGAAATTTTAAAAAAAAAATTAACTAACATAAAAAATTAACTATATATTTTACTAATGAAAAAAAAATTAACTAACATATAAAAAAAACATATAAAAAAATTATATATTTTACTATATGAATGAACTAAAAAAAAAATAAAATTAACTATATATTTTACTAATGAACTAAAAATTAACTAATATAAAAAAAATTAACTTAAAAAAAAGTATATATTTTTACTATATGAATGAAAAATAAAAAACTAACATATAAAAAATAACATATAAAAAAAAATTAACTAACATATAAAAAATTAACATAAAAAATATATATTTTTACTATATGAATATAAAAATAAAAATTAACTAAAAAAAAAAACTTATATTTTTTAATAACATAAAAAAATAAAATTAACTATATATTTTATTTTACTAAATGAACTAAAAATAAAAATTAACTAACATAAAAAAATTAACTATATTTTACTAAAACTAAAAATTAACTAACATATAAAAAACTAATATTAAAAATTAAGTATATATTTTACTATATGAATGAACTAAAAATAAAATTAACTAACATATAAAAAAATTAACTATATATTTTACTAATGAACTAAAAAAATTAACTAACATAAAAAAATTAAAAAAAAAAATTAACTATATATTTTACTATATGAATGAGCTAAAAAAAAAATTAAAAAAATTAACTAACATATAAAAATTAACTTTTTTTAACCAAAAAATTTATATATTTCCCATATGGATGCTGCAAATAAAAATTATCAAATTTTCAACGCGAACCATTTGTTGTCCTCTTTGAGAAAAATTTTCATCGGACTTGTCCTCTTTGAAAAAAAAAGGACAAGAAATTTTGCCCAGAAATCTTTAGTTTGAACACCACATCTAACATTTGTGTTTTTGTTGTTTTAAACTACTAAATGTCTATCCTTTGCTTTTGTTTCAAATAACTCTTACCAAAAAATTACAACAATAAACTTTACCAAATTTCCTGTATTTTGTAGGGCACCCTGTTGATAAAAATGTCAACTAACCGCATGCACACACACACACACACACACACACACACACACACACACAAGCGAATATACATTATAATCAGAATCCTGCAGAGTGAAACTAGAATTATGATACACATACACACATGAATTATACACACGAACGCTGCTTGACAAGACAGATGCACGTGAAGTCTGCTTAACCAATAAAAAACAAATAACACAAAAACTAAAAATAGCAAAATTTTCTTTTAAAATTCCTAAAAGACGCACACATACACATGCACACACATACACGCATATACACACATGCAAAAACGAATATGCATTATTATCTGAATCCCGTATAAA